TGTGAATATATATGTATCATCAAAAACTTTCTTAGAGGTGAATTCTATTCCAAATGTTCTGGAATCTTGTAACGTTCTTCTGCTGCTTACAGTTGGTATGTTGGTAACGGATAGCAGAACATATGTTTTAGCACTGTGTCCAGTAAGTATGTGTAGTGTATTTTCCAAATACCGGGAAGTTACCAGCTCCTTTTAGTGAAACCTATCTTCAGGATAATGTTATATTTAAAGCTACGATGATATAATATTATGAATTTAAAACTACAAAGTGTTTTATGCCCTCTAATCTGTGTAAACTCGACTTGATTCCTCCCCAACAAAAAACCCTCTCTGAACTTAGATGGGAGTTAAGGCTATTGGTAAAGTTGCATATGAGAGAGACAGTGAAAATGAGATTATTCCCATCTACATCACCTAATTGACCGAGAATCCTCATCCTATCTAATACAACAGATAGGTGGCTTCCTAAATGTTGGCTTTAGAGTTGTTTTTAGCTAGATGCAGGCAAATCTGATTGGGGCTGGACTCTCATAAAACTTTCCCCATACTATCAATGGGGGGAATGCGATATACTATCAATGCAGCTGCTGAGTTAACACTGTTCACCAGCAGCTGCCTATCTCCTTCCCACCGGCTTGTCCACAGCACTCAATATTATCACAAATACTAACCTATTGGATAGAAAAACTGAAGCAATACAGGTCGTATGTCAGATCACACATCTGACAGTGTGTGGCAGAGATGGGAATACAGATCAGGCTTCCTGACAACCAGTTCGTTTTTCTGCATACCAGACCATCCTGACAAAAAATATTTTCCCTTAGAACACTAGATTAATCAACAACAACAAACTTATTTGCCATATTTAAGAGCATCTTACCCAAAGTAACCATCGAAACTGACCTTACTGGAAAGTAATCTATTTAAAAAAAAAAATGAAAACTGCCAACTGAGAATCTACTACCCAACCTCTCAAACCGCTTGCTTAAGACATGCGTATTTTTGTACTCAGTTTTTCAGGTATTGAAATACCTTTGTCTACAAATGCAAAATATTTATTTAAAAAAAAAACCCTAAATAATGGCCATTTAGGCAATTCAGCATGTAAACAACCTGTTAGATTGAGATACTTGAAAGTAAACCAATGTATGCAAGTTTCTTCTCACAAGCAATACAAAGTGATACACTACACAGCAACTGACAGTACCCTCCAGCAAATTAACCCATGTTTAAAGTACCATACAAGGCCTGACACCGTCAAAATCTATGTGAATGAGATTGCTACTCTTAAACAAACTTGTAAAGAGCCTTCTGTTTCTCTACAGCATCATAGCAGCATGATTCAATTTAGATATTCTACCCTAAAATCATAATTCATTATGAATTATGATTTAATCAACTATGCACTTATATGGTGTGTATTTGCATTTTCAGAAGACTTCACTGGGATGTATACACATCAAGTGAACTTTTCATATACGACAGATGAAAAACAATCTTCCACGTAAAACAAGAGATCGGTGCTAACACTTTAGCGGTAATGTACGCTACTAGCAAATGAACAAATTTCATTCAGACTTAGTCCTCTACTTCCTGAGCTAGGACGAGTAAGAAACACCCTATCTTATCTATTCACAGTAATGAATCAGGCACTTTGGGAGGAATTGTCCTGAGGAATCATGGAATGGGGTTGCAATCACAAAGGGGGACTGCATGTGTGTGCAGGGGGAACTCAGTAGCATTTAAGTCTGGGATGGTCCTATACTGACATTAGCGAAGTCTAGAAACTGTGATGCATAGGAACTGGTTTCCCTAGGGAGACCAAGCCGAAAGCACGTGGATAGGGAAGACCTCATACAGCATTTTGAAAATCTGGGAAAGCCCATAAACTGGGATTTCCAAATCTGGGAAAATCTGCAAACCCATAAATTGGAAAAGGCAGCCTTAGAGATTTACAACTACATTGACTTTAATATGAAATCATTGTGAAGATGTGCTGGAACTTCCAGTCATCCCTTCTAAAGGGCAAGAAGTCTCAAGCCTCTGTCAGAATATATGTATGTCTAGAAATGCACCTTAGTTTTAACTTTGCACTAAATTTCATTTCTACTGGATGCGTTCTGCTCTCCCCGAAAGATGCTGCCAAAATGGTTCGATGTGACTTTTACTCTTGATTCATAATTTTGGGTAGTTCCACACATTTGTTATTACTACACTTACACTTGTGAAAAAGTTTCTTCCACAGGAATGAAATAGTTACGCAGAGAACTGTTAGAAAAAACAGAACTTTAAAGTCTTTGGTAAATACTAGTTTTGTTGGTGTCAGCCTTAGCAGCATGAGAAGCGATCAAAGAAAAATAAATGCCAATACAGTATGGGAAAACTTTGTTAGATGGAGACTAAGTTTCCTTTTGAATTTGGTATATTTTTTAAGTACTTAAGAATGCTATTCAGCCTGCAATAGTGTCATGTCAGCGTGCTGGGGAATCAACACAGTGGGAAGATGTTATCAACACTCAGAATGGAAGTATGAAGACAGAAAGTTACCTTTAAATTACAAAGATGCATGTACAGCTACAACATTTCTGGAGTGCTTACGTAATTAGAAAAATGACCCAACTGCACCATTACATCTGTGGGACAGAAATGACAAGAAACTCTCTTCTTTAATGAAACAACTCTCTCGGATGAAACAGGAATGTCAGCTTCAGTGTGTACTCCACTGACTGGAACAGGATCAAGTCTCAACTAAGTTCCACACAGTGTTTTCAGGGAAAAAGTGGAGGATGTTTTATGGAATTTAAGTCTGGATTTGGCTAGCATCCTAGAACATACATCTTGTTATGAAAACTGCTGAAGCACTTTTAAGTGGGCAAGCCACAAGTGTCCTTGGAGCTACCCATTCAACTGGAAGCCGCACAGGCGAAGCCTTCTAAAGTAGATGGGATGGAGGGAGGTGGGAAGCAAGGGTGGGGAAATAATCTTGGAAGTATATCTGTTATAGAGAACTGTTCACTTGTGCCTACAGCATGAAGTAGTTACAACTTGTTTCTTGTTATTGTCACAGATCCAATATGTTACTCTGGCTAAATCATAATCTCTTCCTGCCTCAGTTCATCCATGTGTAAACCTGGTTCACTACCTCTTACCTTAATGTGTCACGAGGCTTAATTAATAACACTTAGGTCTTTTAAGCCCTCTACAAACATTAACTACTTCTTGTAACAACTCTCTGAGGTATTATTATCCCCATTTTATTGATGGAGAAATGGCAAAAGCGGCTGTGACTTGCCCATGGCAACGCAGTAATAGCTATACTTGGAGATCCTCTTCATGGATTGTAACAGTGCGAACAACTTCCATCGAGGAAGGCATATTCAACAAACACAATCTCAAAATTACTTCTGAAAGTGAACCACAAGCAACTGGAGGACTACCAAAAAAAAAAAAAACCCTACAAGAAAACACAGGCTGGGGACCGTCTTCACAGAGGAGAAAACGTTCTGGGCAGGTCTAGCTTCACCCAAACGCTTAGGAAGAAACAACACGAGCTGCTCCTAACTATGGTTAAAGCCACCCTACAAGAAAACACAGGCTGGGGACCGTCTTCACAGAGGAGAAAACGTTCTGGGCAGGTCTAGCTTCACCCAAACGCTTAGGAAGAAACAACACGAGCTGCTCCTAACTATGGTTAAAGCCCAGCCGCAGGCTTGCGCCGCGCTCCTCCTCCAAAGAAAACGAGGGGAC